GTGGTCAGTATCCCTCTCTTTGTTTTAGCATACACACAGCCTGCTCCTGACCCGGCTTGTCACAGTGGTGTCAGAAATACCGGGGAGGATTAAATTAGACCCCGTCTGCATCATGTGTTGTGTTGTTAACATTTGTTATGGAAACTTCGAGAGTCCCGCAAAGAAGTACGTATGAGTGTCATGTGCACTGATGATGGCTGTGCTGTTCATTAAGGCTGTTTTTTTTTGAGATCCTGAGCTTGGCTTTCATTTTGGAACTTTGACTCATGAGGCTGGTAGGTTGTCTCTCCTCCATGTTTACCAGTGCTGCTTAGCGACAACAGTTGCCAAGTTACAGAAACATTCTGGAGTTATGTTGATGACCTAATGAGAGATATCCCCCAGCCACCTCAAATATTTTCATAGGAAGCTAAGTTTAGCATTTCGAACAATGAACCATGGACACATTTGTTCCAAGTCCAGTGGTGGAAAGTAACAAAGTACGTTTGCTGAAGTACAATTTTGAGGTACTTTATATGAGTATTTCCATTTTATTCTACTTCATACTTCTACTCCACTGCATTCATCTGACAGGTGTAGTTACGTTTTAGAATGTAACACACAACAGTTTGGCCTTGTGACCCCCTGCAGTACAAAAAGCTATGTCTGGTTCGTTGTCACGTTGTGGGCGTTAGCTGAGTTGTTTGCTGCTCCAGAGCATTTTCCCCTCTAAACTTCTCAAATGGTTTAATTTAAATACCCGTTCAAATGATTCATCATCTCTCAAAAAAGCAAGGGAAAAGTTCCAAAAATTAAAACAGATTTGTGAATTAGAACTTGTTTTTTTTTCCTTCTTTCATCTCCCAGTGATCTCCTCACAACCCCTAAGATTGATCTGGAATACTGGAGTATTTTTAGATTATGCTATTTGTACTTTTACTAGTAAAGGATCTGAATACTTCTTCCGCCACTGGCCAAGACGTTGCATACTTCCAGGGATATGCTACATATTAAAGCTGAAGAAGCTTCAGAAATCGTTTGTGAGGCAGAAGTCAGAGTTAGATGTCTCAGTAGCTTGGATCAATCCAGCAGGTCTGTTTCTGTCATCAACAAGCTAACTCCCCTTAGTGCTGTTTTTAAATGCATCTAAATGTCCTGGTATAAACCTCTGACTTCAACCATGTTTACTTTTGGATCACTCATGCTTATAAAAGTGACAGCCTGCTCAATGTGTATGATTCCTTGGAATCATCTTGAGTTTTAATTGGTCAGACAAGAGCCCCACCCTCTCTTACTGTAACTAACTGCTTGGCATTTCCCTGCTCCCTATGTCTGTGCAGCAGGGTGACCTCTGCTTTGAGTGGATGGGGACCGGCGTGTTCAGTTCTAAACATACTGGAGGACCATCTGAAATGTTAGCCTGTCTCCTGTGAGAGCACAGTGCACTGTAACCCAACACTTTCTCTCACACACACACACACACACACACACACACACACACACACACACACAC